CTGTGAAACTGCCCTAGAAAAAAAATATCTTCCAAAAGATATTTTCTTAGATACCCCTAAAATAAAATATCTTCAAAAGATATTTATGAAAAACACCCCAAGAAAAGAAAATAATTCCAAAGAATTATGCATCCATGCCCCTATGGACACCGGGAGCAATCAAAGTACTTTTCTGCAAAAGTAAAGATACGTATTTTGTGAAAACCACTTAGAATGAAGATACGTGAAGTCGAAAACCAACTCTGAACACAAGGAGTGAGGTTATGCCAACAAGGTGACAAACGGGGAAAAGACAACATAGGGAAAATGACGAAAAATGAATAGTGTCCGAAAAATGAGAATATGGAAATGACTCGGTCCTCAAAGAAAGTTGTCAATCCAAAGAAAAGAGTCTCGAAAACCAATCCTGAGCACTCAAGATGACACTAAGTGATGAGAAACTGAACTCGAAAAAGAAAAGATCAATGGAAAAAAAATATCCGTGAAAATCCGAGAAAAGGGAAAGGAATGAAAATGATCGGGTCATTACAATATCAGCCTCTAGATCCGTAGACTCGAGGAAGCAGTCAAGTCCATTGAGGGCATTGATTACCTAAACCTTCGGCTCGTCTCCAATGACAAGTTACATGCTGAGTTCGGAATCCTAGACTTCAAAAAGTACAATGGCACGAACTATTCGCGAAGTCATCTAAAGGTTTAATGTGACATCGTTCAATGACATCCATATTATCAACAAGACAAGAAATATTGGCACAATCACGTTCAGACTGGAATGAGGAACTTTCTAATATGAATCTCGAAGCTCTTTTTAAGGCAGATGATCTCACAACTCATGTTTCTACTCCTTTGTACACAAAACACAAGCCAAGCAAGTCGAAATCTATATCCTTGCTCAAGTTCAAAAAGCTTTGGTAAAAGGAGAAAGCCCCGCGACTTTCTCCTAGGCATTTACTGTTAGCACAATATTATATATATATATATATATATACATATACATTGAATAAGTTGAGTAAAACTTTAATTTTGTTAAAGCTTTTTTTATAAAACTCTAGTTTTATCTAGTAAAATAAGTTGTATATTATATCATTAATATCCCTCATTAAAAAATAAAAAAAAAAATAAAAAATAAAAAAAAAATCTAAACTCTACTTTCAAGGCTATTAAGCATTTTCGATTAGCATAATATTATGTTTTAGTTTTTATGTTTTAATAAGTTTCGTAAAACTTCAATTTTGACAAAAGGCTTTGTAAAGCTCTAATTTTGTTTAGTAAAATAATTCGAATATTATATAAACAATATCTTCATCTTTCTAAAAAAAATCTAACTTTATTCTCAGAACTCTTAAGCATATATTTTATGATGTCTGCAATAAGTTTAGTAAAACTTGAATTTTTATAATGAGCTTTGTAAAGATTATTTTTGTCTCTAAAAATCAAAATTCTATTTTTCCTTTGTCAGGATGCCATGTGTGGAATGTTGTGATCATTGATGTCATTATCCTCGCTCTTGATGAATATGACATTTAAAATAAAGTTTGATTTCAAAGTGATGAGCCTTGCCCAAGGAAGACTCAATTAGCACACCTTAAGAAATCATGGACATGCATAGTCCCCCAGCCCACCTCTCTAAACTTTGAAGGAGACGGACACCATTAGTGGGGAAACAATAGAATCCCAACAGAAGTCGTATACTTGCCAAGCAGCAACATAAGAAAATGATTTAAATTTCTTACCATATTATTCAAAGATGAGATAGACATGAAGAAATTAAGAAAAATTTTATCACACTCAAGCCACAGACTCTCAAGATCAAGGCCATTCTTAATAATTGAAGTATTTTCTTTAAGCCGCAGACTATCAAAACTCTCAAGATCAAGGCTATCTTCAATGAGCAAAGAATTTTTCTCCATAGACTATCAAGATCAAGGTTATATTCAACAATCAAAGTACTTTTCTCAAGCCGTCTCTCAAGATCAAGGATATTACAGAACTACGTATGACTTAATCGATTCTTGACGTAATCAAGATAAATAGTAAACTTTGGTCGTTCCCTAGGCTCAATCACCACCAAAAAAAAAAAAAAAAAATCTCCATTCAAGGTCAAGATATGTACTACTATGTTAAGCTAAGGATCACTCCCTATGTTTGGAAGCAACAATTAAGTAAATTTTGCTCGTACTAAGATAGTGAGATACTAATAAGCAAGAGTTTCAATGCCTAGGTGATTGTACCCAAAAGGACTAAAGGCCATAATTTATGTTATCCTATACACTATTATCCATTGTTAGCCCCTCGTGCTATGATATTTTCATTTCATAATGCCCACCGATGATCACACCCCACACTAGGGCAATTTTTGAGGTAATATCACAAATCCAGTTAATCTCATGTTAGGCTAGTTGAAATTTTTTATAATTAAGCAATCCGAATTAAAATGAAAAGAGGCCATCATTTTTATCATCCATAATTCATCACAATTTCCTTTGACAAGCCCATAGAGCTTTGTTACGTTCTTTTATTATAACCTACCAAGGATCATTACAAGTATGTCATTCTTTCACAAGAAAGTGAAAACATAAAGAATACAAATCAAGACAAGGTGCCCAAAAGAAGAATCAAGCAAAGGTGCCCAAAACAAGGATCAAGCAAAGGTGTCCAAAATAAAAATCAAACAAAGATGCCCAAAAAGGCAACTCAAGGATATGGGCCAAGAAGAAAAGTCAAGTCAAACTTCGAAGAATGGTCAAAGACCGAGATGAAGGGCACAAAAGCACAAGTTGATGAAAAATTATCATTCGTCACTTCACCCCTAATTCACATTAATCTTGGGCCTTCATACATTTTTTTCATCACCCTAAACCTTTGACCACAATACAACCTACATAAAGTCCTCTCTAATTAAGGATGATTGCTTAGTTATAAAATATTTTGTCTAAATTAACATGAGAGACCTTACCTCAAGCTAGGGTAGGTTGTTTTTATAGTGATCATGGTTTATGAACCTCATATGGAAATAATATCTTTGAGCCTTAATATCCTTCCTTGGCTACTATATACCTAGCCTACAATACGGTCCTAATTAAAGTCCTCTTCGATTGGCAAAGATCACCATAAATTGAAAACTCTTGCTTATTAAAGTCTCATAGAATGAGCAACATTTGTTAGCATCCCCTAAACTGGGGTAATTTTTGAAGGAAGTTGAATAAGACATGGTTCATCACCGAAGAATAGTTTTACAGATTACTCAAGAACAATACATATGGATATTATATAAAGTGTTTGGCAGAATTGATGCTACTTGCAAGCTGTCGATCACCTTTAGAATTTAAAAAAAAAAAAAAAAAGGGACTCAGTGAAAACTCACTTAAGGGTGCCGAGGGTAAAAAAGTGCAAAAGGCGGACTTGGTGAAAACCCAAGAATGGGCGCCAAGGATTAAAATGCAACCAGTCTTAATAAAAATCTCTTTTGAGACATTGAGGGCAAAAGTGGTAGACCAGACTTAGTGAAAACCTGGAAGGGCGCTAAGTACAGTAGTATGGTCTTGAAAAAATAAAATAAACAAATAAATCTCACCTTACTGAGGGTCCTGGTCCTTAGATCAAACTACGTTTGACCCGATTCCCACCATACTACTTATAGTTGATAACCCATATTACACTTGGGTTTGGTCATACCATTATTCAGCCAATTTGGGATCTATTCTAAGCGAGGTTAATCCACTTTGCATACTCCTTTATGATTATTCTGGTGTTGTCAAACGACGAATCAAAGGTCATGACCCGTGGAGGAGGAATCAAGCAATATGTCAAAAGTCATGTTCAAGAGAGTAATGGACAATCGACAGATAAGGAAAACAATATCCTTTTTGTAATGTTAAACACATAAAGCTAATTATTGTATTAATTACTTTATGTTCATTACATTCAGAGTAGTATATTCATGTATATGTTGTATACTAAAACACATGCTTAGACAGTTTTAAAGCATATCATAGAACTTAAGTCTCTATATTTACATATTGCACCAGTAGCATGCTCATCGTCGTAGCTCAGAAGATATATCATCTTACTCATATTCAAAGTGTAAACTTGTGCCCATAGTGCATCTAATTAAATATATTTCTTTTCTCACACATTTTTGGTCTTTAATATTTTTCCTTACTAAAGGATTATGAGAATAAAAATTTCTAATCTTTTGCATATAATATAATTTGTCTCTATGCAAACTGACAATGCTCTTATGTAGGTCCATAAAGTTCTATAAGCTCTATTAATAATCTTTCTGCAATTCACCATGTCAAGATGATGTGTAATGTTCAAAAGAGATCATGAAAGCTCCTTCCACTAATTGAAGCCACTAGGTAACTCAATGAAATGACACATGCCACCTATGGTATGGAATAATGCCAATTTTCAACCGAGTATAGGTAACCACATGGCAATAAGGAAAAGATATACATAAGCCTACACCTAAAGAAGGGGCTTCACTTGAATAAGGAGACATCTAGTCGACAAGTTTAAAATCAAATCAAGCAACACTTATGATTGCCTCAATTTTACTCTACTCGCCATTACAAAGAAGGAAAATTACCAAAGCACACTACAACATATTAGGGTTTCACAAGCGCTTTTAAAAAAAGTGCTGGTGTTGAGTACTAATTACCAACGCTTCTAAAAAAGCGCTGGTGTTGAGTACTAATTACCAGCGCTTCTAGAAAAGCACTAGTGTTGAGTATTAGTTACCAGCGTTTCATTAAAAAGCGCTGGGGTTGAGTACTATGAACACCTACGAATTACCAACGCTTTTTAGACAAACGTTGGTAAGTGCGAAATGTAGTGTGGGAAAATTTGGCGCTCTAATATTATTTCACTTTATTTCTAACTTTACCAATTTCATCCGAGCCCTAGTTTCTCTTCAGCCTCCCCAATCGTCTCCATCTCTATTCTCGGTCTCAACTCTGAACTTGCCCCCCCCCCCTCTTTCTCTGCAACTCCCCAATCGCCCCAATCTCTCTCTTTGCAACTCCCCAATTGCCTCCATCTCTATTCTTGGTCTCAACTCTGAACTTACGCCCCCCCCTCTCTCTCTCTCTGTAACTCCCTAATCGTGATGACACGTGCCCCTCCTCCTCAACCACCCCTCTCTCTTAGCAACTCTGCCTCCAATCTCTCTGTTACTTTTCTCACTTTCTTTTTCTACGTACCTATACCATACCAGTCTTGATTGATCAGAATGGTGAAGCTTGTATCGACCCGAGAGAGTCGGATATATGGACCCTAGCTGGCTCGAAACCGGTCCGAGTACATGAACGCCGGCTTATACGTGTTCGCCACCATTGTTCTTCTCTATGGCTTCGCTGTTCAGCTCTCCAGCGAGCCGAAATCGGGTTTGGTTCTTATACTTATAGGCTTAGCTCTCATAATCTTTGTGAACGTTCACGATCTCCTTGCTCATCTTGCTGGCATCGATTACCGGTTGCCGTTGATGGAATTCGACGTCCAGCTCGGCCTCGTCGAGTTCCCCATCCCCGTGGTTCAGATTACATCTAAACTTCTCTATTTCTTGGGGATTCTTTTTATTTTCATTCAGGTATGTTCTTGTTTGTTGTAATTGTGTCGAAAAATCTCTATCTTGGTATTATGTTGATGATTATGTTCATTAGACATTTTGATTTAGACTTCTATATATATATATATATATATATATATATAAATTTCTAATTGTGGAACAATTGCCCATGGGGTTGCCATATGTATAATTTATTTTTTAAAATTCGTTATTGCCCATGTTGTATCTATCACCAAATAATCTCTCTAGTTTTTATTTTATTTTAATATTTTAATTTTATTAAATTCATTATTTTTTATGCGCAAGCTATTCTGTGTTCGAGAAGGTTTGGTAATGGGTTTAATACATTATTAATCATGGACTCATAATGTTCCTAGTCTCTTTTATTTTTGTATATTTTTGCATACATTGATGTCTTTCTCATCTCTGAAATATCAAAATTGGAGTAGTCCTTGCTTATAAAAACTTTTGGGCTGAGCTCATTTTTTATTCTAATGCTTCAGGAGCAGAAAATAAAAGAGGGTCAGTACATGATGGGTCTAAAAGATGAGATATTCTATTTTTCTTTGTTTATTACATACGCTTTGCAGGTAATTTTTGCATTCTTGCTGTTAAAATGAGTTAGTACTAGCATACTTTTTTCTGTATGACCAATGTTTTTTTTTTTTTTTTTTAATTTCTACAATTCTGTTTTAGCTTTCTGTTATTCTAATTTTCATTTTGGTTTATGGATAAGGAATGTTATATAACTTTTTTGGGTTTTCTGAACTGTTATATTGGCATAGAAGTAAGGCACTTCCATATTGTACTACTGGGTTTTTCATTAAGATTAGTTTCTTTAAGAAAATGATGTATATGGTGCAGGTGTCACTCTTGAAAATCCCTACACTGAAGATCTCAGTCAAGAAGTTAGAGGGTTTATATTCTCTAAAATTCTGGTTTGTTTGTTCCTGAAAAAATCACTTTTCTTTTTCCCAAATTGTGATACCACGTTACAGTGGCTTTGATGCTTTAGTTGTTTTTATTACTACTTAAATTGCTGATCCTTTATCTGAAAACATTTGAATTTTTTACTATCTAAATATTCTGTATCACATTTTAGTGAAACATAGTTGTGACTTGTCACCCATAATTGCTATTGTTTTCCGAGTAGGAGAATCTTCTTGTCTGAAAATAAATTCTGAAGAAACTGCAAAATGTCGTTTCATCATCATGCGCCATGTCTTCATTTTACATCTCCCTCTCTCCCTATCTCTATATATACATTTTGCTTGGTCTATACAACCCCAACCTCACAATGGGAAAATTAAATATAAGAATATGAAATCTTACTTGGTTATAAGCAATAGATTTAATCCTAATACTGCTTGCAAGTGGGCTATGAAAAGTTTTAAGTCTAATCCAAATGTGAGCAATTTGAGTCCAAACAAAATGTTCTAAGAAATCTCATCCCAGTTCAAGAAAATTAGAAAGACAAGTGACTTATGTAAGGTCAAAATTTCTTAACTGTGATGAAAAATTGTTTATTTTTAAATTTTTAACTATGCTGATAATCGATTGTGACTAGCACATAGGATACAGTGACAGAATATTTTTCTTTTGATAAGTAAGATATAGTGATAGCATATGATATTATAAAGTTCTAACAAAATTTGTGCATTGAGAGGACTTTTCCTCTTATATCCTGACTGCAGTTTATCACATGCTCTGTAAAGGATAAACCATCTAGAACACAAAGATCGGTTAATCCCAACACTTGAGCTTCTTGAGTACCTTCTAATAAAGATAAATTTCAACCTTAAAAGCATACCCACTATGACTGGCCTTAAGTGAAAGTATTGTTCTTTTTGTGAACCTTCATAACACCTAGTATGCTTTCCTACTCCTTTCTTTGAAGGCTTTCTACTTTGGCTACAAGAGTTGAGTAATTGTAAATTAAGGTAGGTAAGGATATGCTAGTAAGAGATCTAGATTACAGTGATTTTATTCCCAGTTAAATGTATACCTTCTTTCACCCTTCTAAGTACTTGGCACCTTTTCCACTGCTGGACCCCAAAACACTTTTCCCTCTTCACTCTCAAAGGAAGACCAAGATACTTAAGCAGCCAACCTTAGATATCACAACCTAAGGAGCTATTAACTTTCCTCGGAATACTTTGTTTTATCTTCATAGCCCAAACACAAACACAAACCATTCAGAGATGGGATTATAGAACCCTTACTAAAAGAAAGAAACTAATATTTTATATTTGTATATTGGGGTGTTATACAAGCTCCAATTGTTCTACCCTCACAACATTCTAGTAAGAACAACTGCGAAAGTTACCAGAAGATTCTAGCAAGGAGAATTGCCCCATCTTTTTGTGTAGCAGGTACCATGTTTTCTTCGAATGATCTTGGTGTTATATATTACTAATCATATGGATGTAGGGTTTTCAATTTTGTAGATAACACCGCAAAAGGATCTTTTTGTGTTTTGAGATACTAAAAATTATAACTCAACAGACTAGATCCTAACTACTCTGGATTGGAATGTCATTTTTCTTTCCTTTCCAGGTTCAACTTACATAAAAATAATGAAAGGTTTCCTGTAGGCTGCCTTTCTCCTTTGTCTGAGCTCTGGGGACTACCTTACACATAACCTCCTTGTAGTTCACGGGTTTTCTTATGCACAAAAGAGATAGAAGCCTAGAATTAAAATTTTAACTATCTTATAGATTGGCATCTGATTAAGTAACCTAGATACACTAAACTCTTATGAGTAGAATACATCTTCATAGTAGAGCTTTCGTGTTTTGATAACCAATGGTGGTTTTGGAGGTGGATGCAACGTATGTAATATAAACGAGGTCTGTTTATCTTTCATATGGATGTATTCAATTCTATTTTTTACTTTAGAAGGCTTCATGCACTAATTTGAATTCTTTTGAAAAAAGCGTTTCAATCTTTTTACTTTGGTGTTGTAGATTTTGATGCCGATATTCCCTGGGCAACAACGTTATATTCGTAAGAACTTGTTCCATACAGTTTTTATTGTGGATCCTGCATCCATTTGTGGACTTGAGGCAAGTTTTATTGTGTAAAAAGTGACGTCAGTTTGTTGTATGTGCATTATACTGTTACCAGAATTACTTATCTAAATTTAATTTCATTGTCTTTTGTAGGCAATTGACACGATTATTTCTTTGTAAAAGAATAGTTTCCCTATGAGATTTGGGGTGATATTGTACTCAACAAAGTTTATCAAGAAGATTAAATCGAACAGTGGAGAACTCCCATTAGATCCTGTGGAAAATGACAACGGGATAGAGGAAGATGTGTCCAGTTTGGTACTTCTTTCTATCTTATTGTACCGTCTTTTTACATCTCAAACATGTTTAGGCTAAAAGTTGATAAATTTGTACAATACGTTATATGCATTTAAGGAGAATGCCTTAGATAATCCAAACAGATGCATCTTCTGAGTTCGGCCTGAACTGCATCATTTTAAATAGAAATATGTTTTACTACTCCTAACAGTTTTACTTAAACCTCATAAGAGTACAAATTTTTGTTATAGTAATTTGAAAATTAGATTTTTAACGAATCAGTTATATAAAAGGTTTTTGTTCTATCATCTAGGTTATAGTAACAAGTTCTACCTTTTTTTTAGGAAACCAGTGACTCACCATAGTTGATAAATAGCATAGATCTAGACAAAAACAAAATATAAAACATGCAGTCTGTTCAAATCACCAATTACTATAGATTATTTGCAAAATTAATAATAATTATAGTTCCCACAACTAATTTTAATCCTTTGGAGAATTATTATTGTAAATACTATGATTCGCCACATTATCATTCTTTTAGGGAAATCTTGTTTCATATTGTTACTATTAGAAAATCTATTACACACACACACACACACACACACGTTGTTTATCTCCTAAATTCTCTTCATATGAGTGATTATTCTTAGGTTCTAATGAACATGACTTTGCTGCTAGTATTTCTTATAGCAGTTTAGCAGAACTCAGAAATTACTGTCTTATATGTAATTTAGTATGTAAAAGGTTTTGTGCATGTTCTTGTGTTCTATATATTCATTTTCTAGTCATAATGCCAATTCAGTTAAGGTTATGAACTTTAATTTCTCTTATATGTTAAATTTTAATTTATTATAATGTATGCTTAATGAATTTATAAAAAATGTAGGGCAATTCAAATCAAATGGGCAGGAAGAGTTGTTAAAGTTGAAGTTGAAGCTGAAGATGGGGTTGTGGCTGTGCTTTCAGCATTTCCTTCGCCTTGGATGGGTTCTTTTTGAAAAACTTGTACTATATTTGTCAAAAATTCTTAATTCTTTTTTTTTTTTTTTTTTATCACATTTAGTAGATCTAGACAATTTGGATGGTATTTTCATATTGGCAAGTTAACTTGTGGTTGTATTAGTAGACATTTTTTGAGTTTTGGTTGACATTTACCAGCTTTATCTATTAGTAAACAATTTCGATGGTATTTTTCATATTGGCAGTAGGTTAACTTGTGGTTGTAATATGTAAAAACAATTTGGATTGTACTTTTATATTGCCAACTTGTGTTATATTGGATGACATTTAGCAACCAAGACATTTTTCAAAAACAATAAAGGGCAAAAAATAAAAAAATAGAAATAAATAAAAATAAAAAATGTGCCTTTACAAGCGCTTCTTAAAGAAGCGCTGGCAAAGAGGTGGGGAAAAAAAAAAAAAAAATGACCTTTTACCAGCGCTTCTTAAAAAAGCACTGGTAAATACCTTATACCAGCGCTTCTCAAAAAGCGCTGGTAAAGGGTCATTACCAGCACTTTTGAAAAAGCACTGGTAAAGCCCTACCGATGTTGGATTTACCAGCGCTTTTGAAAAAGCACTGGTAATTGAATTACCATCATTTTTTGGGACTTTTACCAACTTTTTTGAGCGCTGGTAAAAGCCATAACTGTTGTAGTGGCAATACTTGTTTTAATTGACATGACATATAGAAGAAGAAGTAAAGGAGAGGGAAGGCCACAAAAGTGGCATATCCATCTTGAAGCTTAGTCACTGCCTATGCAATCAAAACCCTTTTCAACTCAAGCATTACCTCCATTGCCATCCTTTCCATCGTCATCTCAAACACGAAGTCACTAATTCTGCAATCTCAATGCTCCCTCATATGGTATACCGCGTCTCCATTATTATTCATTGCTGATCAAATTTGCCATTTTTCAAGTAGGGGCATTCACATCATTAGAGTATGGTAAGATTGTATTTTTACCAAGGCAGTGCTAGAACAGGTAAAATAAAAATTTTACCCACTTTTCAAATGGAAAGGAACATAGTTTTTACTCACCCAATGTATGTCACAGAGACAAAAGCTACCTTTTCATTCACTGAAAGACAATTTGACATTTTTTCCATACAAAGTCTAGTGTCTAAATTTCACCCTTAGTGTGTTAATCATGTGCCAATAACGCACCCGTAGTGTGCTAAGTCAATTTCTAAATATCGAATAAAAGCCTTAGCATGCCATTCATCGGAGTAAGCACCTCTAGTGTATTAAATATATATATTCAAAACGCACCCTTATTGTGTTATCCCAAGGGATGACCCAATTTGTAACAAGGATTAGAATTAATGCTCCATGCACACACTTAAAGAACCCATGGATAAGTTTCGTGCCAACCAAGGCACAAAATGGTTTTTGTCTACTTCTTTGATCGCCATTGCATTGCAACGCCAAGCAAAGAGGGGCAGCTGTAGACACCACATTTTGCCCCTACCCATTTGTAGGGGTATTCCGGTAAAACTAGTTTGGTCAAGCTAGGAAAATCAGAAAATTCAACCACCAGTTCATAAAATAGATGTCACCATTGGATCCAGAATGTCCCAAAACTTTAAGGTACACCTAGAGTCAAGCTCGTAATGTGACTCGTAGCACTCTATCAATGTAGGAGGGCAAAATCTAACCCATTCAAGTTTGATTAAAACTTGGGAAATGATTTAATTTAATCTCTAAATAAAAAATGGACCCTTCCATTGTGTCCAGAACGTGTCAAAACCTTAGAGTTGATAAAAAGTTAATAAATATTAAGTGATAATAATAATAATAATAATAATAATAATAATAATAATAATAATAATCGCTTGATCATTCTGGATCCATTAGCCAGCCCCTTGTCACACCCTTTCTATGGAGGTTACGTCTTGGTGCCACATGGGATACTTTCAAGAATGATATATATATATACCGTTGTCTAAACCATAACTCCAAGAATGATATATCTATATATATATATATATATAATGGGTAAGAAATAATAAACAATAAAATAAAGTAATAAAATAAAATAAAATATAAACTTAGGTCGAGTTCATAACATGACCTGTGTATTTCAAGCAAGACAATAAAATAAAAATAATTAAATAAAATAATAAAATAAAAAGAAATGAAAGGAAAAAGGGGAAAATAAATGTAATAAATATTTCAGAATATAGATCAAGCCAGGACCTCCATATAATAAGGAAAATAAAGGATAATAAAATATTATATAATAATAATAATAATTAAATTGCATCTAGCATGATTATACAATTAATTTGTTGCCAATGGTGTGACGACCCTGGATTTTTTTAACCCAATGTGTCCTATGATGACCCGAAACGGATACAAAATGCGGAAGCAAAACAAAACCAATTCCTTAGAGATGTACATCGTCCCTAAGGCACAAGAATGGCCCTTTGAGAAATTTTGAGACTCAGCGGAAGCAAAACGAAAACAAGGGCATCAAAATCCTACAAAAGAAGGACCAAGGGTAAAATGGTCATTTTACCCCAAAAGGAAGGAATTTGACTTTCAACAAGTCAAATGAGATCAAAAATATCTAAAAACATCCTTTGGTAACTTCACCTGAAGTCCCAAGTCCAAAGGAATTGAAATCCTAGATGAACCCTATCCCGATTCGAACTAAATCCGACACCCTCTCACTAAAACGAGGATATCTTGAGATAGGAGAAGAATCCGAATCTGAAATTGATACCATTGGAAATTTTATTTCGACACGGTCAATTTAGACTTAAGAATGGACCAATTTGGAGTTGAAACAAATAAGTTACAACAATTTGAAGTTAGAAGGTCAAAGCTGAACCTGCAACAGTAACTGCAAGACTTGAACCGGTTCAGCCTCCTTGAACTGGTTCAACATGGGAAGTACGCCCATGTTGAACCAAAAGACACCTTTTGAACCGGTTCAACCTTCTTAAACCGGTTCAACTTGACTAGAGTTGAACTTAAATAGCAGAAATAGTAGAATAGTAGAAAATTAAGTTTGGAGCATGGTTTTCGAGATCAAGATGACATTTTTCAGAAAAATGTCATGAAGAAACTTCCCCTAAAATCACATTTTCTATGTGACAAAGTTGAGAACGGAATTTATTTCCTGAAGGAAATCCCTAAAATGCCCTTAAGCAAGATTTTTCAATAAAAGTGTGAAATGAATCCATAAGAGGCTCATTTCGCCAACAAAAGAGTTTTTCCCGAAAATGACCATGCACGCAGACGTAACTTACCTATTATGATGCGCTACAATGATCCACGGTTTAAAAATACCGCCGATGCAAAATACGACCCCCCCTCCCCCCCTAACGGCCAAAATGACAAAAATGAAGCTTGGAATGAAAACCTGGAACTCAAAATTATGAAATGGTTACAAAACACTATTTGGCCCTTGGCCACACTTCAGCCATGATTAGTAAGACCCTATGAAAGAATGAAAATGGAATTCCCACACCCGATGCAAACATAGTGAAACAATAACTTGGCATTTTTGAATATTCTCATATATTTCATGAAGTCATAAATTACATAAGATACAAAATACATGTCATTGGCCTTCGGCCTCATCTCATACATGTCGATTACATTGAAAAGAGTGTACTTGTGTACACATTACATATTTAGAATAAAAAATACACATTTTACACATAAGGCTACAAGTGGCATTTCTAGCCAACCTTTACGAGAATGGAACCTTCAAGTCCACAAATCATCCAAGCATAACGAGAAACTCAACCTTGATTCCTGT